AGAGAGAGAGAGAGAGAGAGAGAGAGAGAGAGAGAGGCTTTTATAACTAAGTGAAACAGACTACACTAAGCCAAGCACAACAATATCGGATGACAATCCTGCTGTGGACCACGACCTACTTGTCCTCAGGAGCTTGCAGAAATTATTCACCTGCTGGGACAAGTGTGCACACAACTTGGAATGGCCGGGAGAGCTGACACAGTGATAAAGCTAACAATAGATTTGGTTGAATATTTACCACATCAATGGAGATTTCCATGTAATAAATAAAATGAGCCAGGCCCAAGTTGTTAACTTAGAGCACAGCCAGGCCACGACTGTGTTCAGCGAGGGACACAGCAATGGCGCAGCCTTATGTGGAGTGTGCTGTGAAGGTCTGTGTCTCTCCCGCTCACTCTCCATCAGTGCTAGACTCCAGTCACATCCTTACCATTTGAGTCAGTGGAACTCAGCAGAGGAAGAACCACTTCTTGAGCTTGCTTTAAAAATTTGGTGAGAGTTTGGAAGGAATGTTTGATGTATAACAATACAAAGTACCTTTTTTTAATACAGACAAAGAGATTGTACAGAATAAAAAATAGTGTTTATAATCATGTGGCTGAGCATATGATTGCAAAATAATTGGTGGAGAAATCCTCTCTTCCTCCTCTGGCCATCTTTCAATTTTTTCAATGATCAGGCTGCAGTAGAAATACAGTCGAGGGGCAGTGGACACCCATCCCACAAAGACAGGATCGCTTAGGATGTGATGTGCAGTTTTATTCTCAACATCAAAGTTGCGGCACTTGCTCTTTGGTCAGAGGTTATGTGGGCAAGGGTAAGTGCACCAGAGTTGGCTGCATGTGCTCTAACGTAGATAAGAGAAAGAAAGCAGAACCTCGTCTCTGTAGAGTGCTGAAAGAACTGAACTATGGCTTGCTTCTTATCATATAAAAGGGCCTGGACTGTACACAGCAGAGCTGAAGGCAGACTCGAAAGCAGACCTTCGTGCCTGGGTGGAAAGGCCCTGAGCTCAGCCTGCTGTCTCCAAAGCATTGTTCCACAAGGGTCTCGGTGCCAGATTTTTCTGGCCATTCAATCTCTCTCCTCTTAGATGGAGTCATGAAGAGCAGCGATATGTCTCCACCTGCCTTACTAGAAGAGGCGCTCGGTGCGGCCTAACGGGTTTTACTTGCAGTGTGGAGCTGCCTGGATCGGACAGAGTCACACCCGGAGGGCCCTGAGGGTGCCTCAGAGCCACGTGGGTTAGCCACTCATGTGGATTACTTTTGTGGGAAGTATATCTTATTTTTAATGCATAGTTTGGGAAATTTTGCTTTGTGAAAAATAGAGTAGATTAGATGTTGGGTTTTTGTTGCTCTGTTTTTTTTTTTTTTTTTTCACACATACAGAGAATTAAGATGGGAAAAAATGAAGAGGTTTGACATTGGTCTTGATCTGAAAAAGTAGCTTCTCAGGAAGAGATGCAGGGCAACATCCACACAGCTCACCACCTGGGGGATCACAACTGCCACTTAGAGCCAGGTGACCAGGGACAAGGCTTTCTCCAGGAGCAGCTGTGCAGTGGTTCACCTGGTGCAGGGGCTCACCTGGTGCAGGGGCTCACCTTGTGCAGGGCCTCACCTTGTGCAGGGCCTCACCTGGTTCTTCTGAGGGTGGACTATGCTGCTACTGAAAACCACAGCTGCTCTCATAGGTGAGACCTTTCTTCCAAGCCATGTGCTTCCTTTCTGCCTTCCCAAGAAGAAGTTGTCTCCGTCTGGACAAAGTCAGCATGCAGGGCTTTCTACACTCATGTTCTCTAAACTGAAGTCACCGACGTGGTTGAGAAACCAGGTATAGCTTTCTGGTGAACCCAGATGGCAAGCTCAACTAAGGTCATTCCTCGCAAGTGCAGCAGTTATGTTCTAGGAAGCAGGAGTAGGGGATGATCAAAGGAACAAACTAAAGCACAATCTCCCTGCTCTAGACCACCAATGTGGGCATGCTTTATTTTAAATAGAAATGCCCAAAAGGAAAATCTCACCTTTAACCAGAAACTGGGGCTTTTAGGCCCCTCCTGGAAGGTTATGTTTTGAGCTATTGAAAACAGCAGGCATGAGTAAGTTAGACTGGTTCCCTGGATAAAATCGGGGCTGACCGCTGGCACTCATGAGAATAATGTGACCTGGAGCAGTGGCTGGGGCACCGCTAGTGGCCGCAGCAGGACTGAGTCAGGCTTACCTCACAGGCGGTGTGTGCTGCTGCTTCCACAAAGTGTGCAGCAGCAGTGTGTGTGTGTGTGTGTGTGTGTGTGTGTGTGTGTGTGTCTGCACGCTCCCAGAGGACTGCCAACCACTCCAGCTGCATCAGCTAAGCCTGTGCAGGAATGTGGACTTTCAGCTTTGAGCATCAACCCAACACAGTGAGCAAGGCGGCAAGCGTCCCGCGGCCTGGCTGCGGTGCCTGGGTGCGGCCTTTGTCCTTGGCATGCACAGTGTCTCTGCTAAAGTCCACGGCCCAAGAGACTTTGGCGGCAGTTGGAAGAGCCAGTACACGCATGAGAAAAGGAAGTGTTTATAATGATAGAAACTGTCTGTCTTCACAAGACCTCATCAACTTTTCCCGCCATCCATTTCAAGAACAAAACATTATTAGGATCAGCGTGGCATCCCACCCACCAAGGAGGACACACTTGAGCCATTTGTGGGCAAGCGGCTGCTCCCTGAGACTGTAATGTTACGGGAGACAAATCAGCCACGCGAGCTTAAGTATCACATTAATTCTCTCCTGTGAGTGTGAATAAGTTGAAGAGCAAACTGAAAGCTAAGTAATAAGAAACAGCAAGACAGAGTTTTTGCAAAAAGGGACAGGGACCACTAGATGGGGGACAGGAGGGGGAGAGTAAAAAGAACGAAGCTGTGTTGTGTACACTTACCAGCTCCCTGCAAGGAATGCGAAGATTATGTGCCACGAACGTGGATTAATAGAGATGGAGAGTGAGCAGCCCCCCATACTCAACAATGTCAATATTTAAGAAAACAAGGAAGTTTGACATGAAAATTATAGTAAAATATCATATCAAATGATAATTTATTGAGTGAAAAACATTATATTCATTCCATTATACAACAGAGTGCGCTATGACTTGTTTTAGAAGAATGTGCAGCATTCAAAGTTGCACCTCATCATGCATTCGACCAGCAGCCTGGGCCCGAAAAGCGCGTGCACGGCTGAGCCAGCAGTGGGCTACATGGGCTCCGATGCGGAAGTGATTCTCCTCACACTGAGCTGGGAATCTCCTCCATGCCGGAGAGCTCCTCAGAGCAGACCACATGCATGTGTTTATTAGTTATTCGCTTCAAAAGACCACAAGTGAGAATATGAAAATATATAAGCAGCATTCATGTCACATAGAATTCCTGAGAATAGTGTGTGCTGTAGATCTTTGAGAATTAGTTTCTATTCATAGGAAAACCAAGATAGAAAACATTTCAACTCAGGCAGAGCAATCGAAAGTCAGGATAGGAGGAGCTGCTGCCAGCGCTTCGCTGTGAACAGGAGGAAGGCGAGGCTGGCTTCTACGGCATTGTTTCAGGAAAGAAGCATTTCACGGAATTTTCTGCTTGTTATTTTCCATATCTGTTTCAAAATACCAGGGAAGACATTCTCTAAATAAAGGTATTACAATTCTTATTAAAATATCTTTTCTCATATCAATCAACATGATTTTATACAGGGGGGGGCTGTATAAAAACATAGAAAGGGGAGAGTTCTGAAGGATACTGCCATGATTAGATTTCACGCTTCTGTAGGACAAATGCCATTGTCTTGTATACTTAATTTGGAAAATAAGTAACTGTCAGGGAAACTTGGAGAGTACTTGCCTTCAGGCATGAGTATGTATGTAATTAACAAACAAAAGTAAACACGGACTTGCTAAAATGCTGTTGTACAGGCACTGCACTTAGTGTCCTGTCTGAACTTTAAAGTCCTGCATGGTGAAGAATCAAAAGCAGGAGGAAACAGACTCAGAAGCTCTCGCCGCGCTCGGGATCAGAGGGCCAGTAGAGGTGCATGTTCTTGACTAAAACAGGATGCAGCTATGAGGGAGCAACTTTTCCTTGGTGCAAAAGAAGGAAAAGCGAGCAAACATTTCTGGTGCTAGAATTATAAAAGTACTTTTTTCTAGTAGGTGAAATTTAGAACTTCCCTACTAGAGGAATGCTAGAAATTTACAGGACAGAGCTTTATTTCTGTTGTGCCTAATTTGGGTTTTCAAATTTTGAAATTTGAAAATAATTGTGCTTTGCTTCATTGGGCAAAAAATAATTAGACAAGTAATAAAAGTCATGATGTGGTGCGTGCGTGTGTGTGTGTGTGTGTGTGTGTGTGTGTGTGTGTGTGATTTCTTACTGCATTCCCAGGAGAGGAAAACTTGGATTTCTTTGTTTTGCAAGGAACTAAATTTTTCCTTCCCTTCCCCTGTTCTACTTTCACCTTTCTTCCTGTCCCTCTCCCATAATTTCGCCTCCTCTGGACTTCCTTTAATTGAATTCCTCATCATTCCTATTCCATCAGTCTGTGGACAGACAGAGTTAACATCCAAATAGAATTTCACTACAAAGCAGAATTAAGGTCTTTACAATTAATTTGAATCTGTTTCCAGACAGTGTAAAAACAAGTCAATCTATCAAAGAAACAACAATAGAAAGCTCCCTTCAGTGATGAAAAAGAAAGCAAATTCAAGTATTGTTTTTGTTTTTGTTTTTTAACAAATCGTAGGTCTACCACATGCATTATTTTCATTAGCTCATCAGTAAGAGAGTACACTGTAGAAAAAGCATAAATGCTGTAGACAATCGGGCTCCGGATTACCTGAATAAACATATTGCAGTAGCATACTGTGTCACTGGTCTCCGAGTTGCATAAAATGCATCTTGCATTCCAAATTGTCAAGGTGCAAAGGTACAAGGAAAATCAACATATTTACAGCATTCCCAGACAACGTTCTGTGAGATTTGTAATAATTCAGACAAGGAAAAGTTAAATGGACTGTAAAATAGCTTTGTGCAGTACAGCATGGAGTAGTCATGTTTGGAGTGATGTCACAGCAACCCCATTCATATCGTCCATGTATAAAAGTGTGCAGTGCCTCTGGCTTCGCCAGGGGTGAAACAGACTGCACTGCAGCTGATGCAATACAATACGGTTTTAACAAATGGTATACTTTTTGGAATCATATATTTTTGGTTTGACTATGAAAGGTGGTATGCAACTCTTTAACTGCATAGTAGGTGTAAAGCAGCATAAATTCGTTGGGGCAAAAATCCATACTCACACAAGACAAGGGAAGGCCCTAGAAACCTAACAACAGGAGGGATGTGGAATCCTGGCAGCAAAGGCAACAATAGATTCAAGTCATTTCTAGGCTGTGTCTCAACTCAGTGGAAGCTTCCAGAGTCAGATTAACATGTGACCACAGGATGCTTTAAATCATGCCTGGCTGTGAACATCCGCACGGAAATCTGTCTCTAGAAACCTCACCATCACCATTTCTGCTAGACTGCAGCTGACGGGAGGGAGAGATCCCTTCCTGAGGCTGCTTCTTAATGCCAAGCAAAGCTCCCTTCAAGAACAGCTTCTCCATCACTGGAAATCCGACCATTCCAAGTCTTGCCGAGTGCTGTGACACATTTCCAAGTAGCATAGTACACGTAATGTTTGCCAAGTACCCATCCTTCTAAGCCCCATCCACATCTGAAGTTTCCCACAGTCCTTTGCGCTAATGGTTCCCCCCTACGGGTTGCAGGAACCAACTAAGGCCATTCATGGTGAACTGGCTGACCACTTTTTCTCCGTTGTTGTTGTAAATGCTCCAGTTCAGCCTCATACATCATTTCTTGGACTAAGTACTTCTCCCGCCGTATTCGCTCATGCAAGCCCTTGGGTACATCTGGAATCAGGTACGCGATGAAAGACTTAATTCCGAAAACAAGGTGCTGCAAAGCAAGAGCAGAAAGCACAGTGTTCAAGATTCTGAAATGCTAAGTAAGAAAACCCAGCAACTGTGAACGGTGGCCCATTTGTCTTAAAATCAAGCATCAGAACTCAACGTGCAGCATTAGGAATAATGACATTGTCAAAACCTGCTATGTTGACGATACTGCCGCTATCATTGACACATTAATATTAACAGAAAACAATGAATTTTTGCTGCTGTATGGGGACATCACTTTATAAAGCCTGAGTACATCTTGAATCCTTGTCTATAATATTACATACTGTGCAATAATGTTATGCACAGTGTTATAATGTGCACTGTGATATGTAAATGAGGTATCATACGTAGGAAAAAGCCCATGTCCAGTACACCATAACAGACACTATTCAAACCAAACAGAGGTCGCAGAGACTACCTATTATGCTTTCAAGCCATTCACTTTTCAGAATGTCTTCTGGTTTAAATTAACATAACAGTTATAAAATATTTCACCTTTGTCACATAAATCTGTGCTTAAATATGTTACTTATATTTTTAGTTTTTAAAGAATAGAATAAAAATAGTGATAACAGCATTAGAAACCATACAAAATATCACTAAGCAAAGTAATAGAAATTTAACAACGGTTGCTGTGTGGCATGATACTATCTTCAAATTAGTTGCTCAGGTTATCAGATATAAAATGTGCCAGACTGGTTTAAAGAAAAGCAAAATAAAACACAACAAAACTATAACAAAAAATTGTAAGAAATTCAAAGGGAAAGGAAGAATAAAAAGAAAAAAAGCATAAGCATCAACTGCTCCTTTCAAAAGACCAGCAGAAACCTGCAGTACAGTTATCCGAACTATTCTGCACATATACATAAATATATCTTTTTCCCTCCTTTCATTTGTCCTTTTCCTCATTCCTGTTTTTTCCCATTGTGTTACTTCTATTTTTAAAAAAACTGATAAAAGTGTTGGATTTTAAAAAGCACAAATAAAACTCGAAGGCAGTATGTTAAGCCGGGATTAGTTGCAAGTTGTGCGGCGAGGGTATGGCTTCTGAATCCGGCCGGTGCTCAGGGGCTGCAGAACCTCTGGCAAGTCACCTATGGTCTGCACATCTCCACTAAGCAGGGCGGGGCCTGGAAGTTTGAGTAGAGCTTCGTAGAGGGTGGGAGAGAAGCAAAGGGAGAGGGAAGTGGGAGAGCGGAGAGGACGGCTCCGCAGTGTGCTGCTCAAATCGACCTCCTGCTCTCCGACTTCCATCAAGCAACGCAGTTCAGTCTGGGGGAGACCTTCAGAGTGAACACTTCACTTTCCAGATGAAGGTACCTCATTATAAAGTTAGAACTGTTTTGTGGAAATCAGTGAGAGGTGCAGTTGCCTTTCAAAAGATGTTTCCAAAGTTGTTTGGATGGTGACCTCTTTCCATAATTTTGGCCACAACAAGAAAACATATTTAAAGTCTTTTCATTGAGCTACCTCAGGAATAGACACACGGTGTAGTCTACTGTTAAGATCTTTGGTGCTGGGCCATGATAACCAAAGCAATGAGATGAGAGCCTCCCCAAATTTCTACACTAGATTCCAATCTAATATTGTATAACTCTGATAATCAAACTACACATTTTTTAATAAAAGTATTGTAAGGCATTGAGTCACCCAATGTTACTATATTTAGGCTTGATTGTGTAGAAAATCAGTTTTTCCATAAGTGAATAGATATGGATTTTTTAAAAATCAAATTTTAAAACCTATTCTTTCCTGTTTAAAAAATTTTGGCTACTATGAGGTTCAAAATAAGAAGGTTCCAGAGTTTTCAGGTCACCTGTGCAGTTGTGTCCTCATCCTGATTTTCCGGGATAAACACACGCCCACCTACCACGTTCTGCTTTCCAGCGTTTGCTTCTGTGTGTTGTTCTGATGGCTTCCTTGTGTCTTACCATTTTATGGAGACCTCCATTTTTTGGAAGCCAATGAAGAACTCATTTCAAAAAGGCCAGTGAAGGGTCAATTAGAAAGCATTTGCCCATAGTGCTTTTCTGTCCCTTTGTGACTAACCTCAAACACAATGATGAAGGCCAGCCGGGCGGCCAGGATGTGCCAGTACTGAAGGGTGAACTCGTAGGGTTTGGAACTCCAAGGTGGACCTCTGTAGTCTCTGTACCTAAAACCCACGGAAAGCAAAGGCTATGAGGAATATGGATCAAAACGTGGATGCCCCAAGTATTCTTGATTTGATAAAACCCCACAGTAGTTTCCATGGGCTCACTGGCATATGGAGGGGAGGAGTTGCAGAGGTAAAGGCAAGCAGGAGGGGCAGCTGTAAGTCACAGGGGAGTACCTGCAGTAGCCAGATTTCCCTACGCCGAGCTCACTCAGGTTAAAGAAGGACAAGCTGTTGTTGACATATCCTTTCAAACAACTGTGGGAAAGAAAAGCATTCTCTGAGCCAGAGAGTCCTACATGTCCCCTTCATTGCAGAAGGCAGGGTGTTATGAACGCCATGATGCACCCATTCCAGCTGTGAAATCCTAGCAATGGAGATTTTTCACTCTGTTCCCTAACTCTCACATCTGTGCCATTTCTCTCCAATAAGTTCTCTTTCCCTTTCATTTGAGCTTACACTCATTTTCTGGTTAGCACACACCAAAAGTTCAGCCCGTCACTTCTGATTCTCCACAAGTCTACCATCTGCCAGTGATGACAATAATCATTAAGTACTACAACTTTGTACTGATTAAAAAATAACTATTCTAGAGTTAAAATATCTGTAAATGTATGTTTTCTAAGTATGCATGCTGAATATAATTATATATACTGTAAACATTACATATTTATCACCATATGTTTATTGAAATGTTACAACTTCATACAAAAATCCTCAATGCATATACTCATCAGTAAAAAAAATAGGCAACAGTCCCTGTCCTTGTGGGGTAGATATTCCAGTGTGGTGGGAGATAAAGTCATAAAAATTGTAATTGAAGTATATGGAATATTATCAGGTGACATCTGTTATGAACATACAAACAAATCTCCCAGATGGGCTGTAGTAAGTTCCTACACTGTAGTAACAAGACTCAGTCTTCTAGGTCTGACAACACTTGAGAGAAAAATGCCTGCAGCGCCCCCTGCCGGCGGGAGGAACCTGCCCACGCTGTCTCCAGCTCAGAGTACAGCTGCTGAGTCGAAAGCCTTCCCAGGACAGAGGTCGCCGCATGATAAGAGTTTATGAACTCTCAAGAGATAACGTCATGCACATATCAATCAAGATTCGTAAGGCGTGAACGAAAAGTAAAGCATATGTCTAAATTAAAAAAAAATACTTATTATGGCAAATACACATGGCCATTAATTCCCCTCGAAATGCACTGCCTTGCTTCCCACGTGTGAGCCCGCTCCCTCCGCCTCCTTCCTGCAGCGCGTCTGCAGGCCCCGGTCACGAGCGCCTCTAGTGGTGCAGCTACGGCTGCCTCGAGGTCCTGAATCCGTTCAGAACATCCATCTCCCGGGGTCGCTGCGGCTGCGGAAGGAGCCGCAGGCGCACGGTGCCGGATCCAGCGTGGAGGCCGGGCAGGACGCACGGCAGGACGCACGGCAGGCCCGGAGGACGCCCCACTTCTGCATGCCTGCCTCTCCGTCGGAGGGCGCTCGGCCCCAATAGTCACCCTATTTCTTTATAACTGCTAGCCATTCTTCAGAGGAAGCGTTGCTTCAGCAAGTGACAGCAATGACGGGATAAATATGTTCGAGGCGAGGGGAGTATTTTGGAGGGGATTAATGGTGGTATGTCTCTTGCTTTAATACATTTTTTAAAAATGTGAATATTTCCCACACATTGTGACCAACTTTTGTACATTCGTGGAAAAAATATATGATCACATTAATAAGTAAAATTTTGATTAAAATATAACTTCCTTTCATGATAAACACCACTCAACAAGCTAAAAATCTGATAACATCTTAGTCTGATAAAAAGTGTCCTTGTGGAAATATCTTGATTTCTGGGTTCCGGAAGAGCGTCTGCGCCCCGCAGAGGAAGAGCCACCGTCCCCGGGCAGCGGCGGTAGGATCCAAGCGGAGGCCTGCCACGTTCTGAACCTGCAGCGCGGATCCCAGCAGGACACTCGATTCCTCTCTGCTTCACGCTAGACGCCACAATTGGTCATTTCTCTGACTGTCCTGTCAACATCTGCCGTCTTTTCCTACCTTGCTCGGAATATTTTTAATTGGAATGGATCTACCTCAGTGTAGCTGCTAGGCATTCCTAGGAAATGTTGGAGTGTGCCGCGTGGCATCAGCATCACGTGAGCCCCCGCTGCACGCCTTTGTTTGAAGTTAATCCACATCCCTGGTCACTGTTGAAGAAGGGTCCCTGCTACCAGGGAGAGCGGGTCTGAGATGGAAATAACCAGCCAACGCCTCTTCCTCCTGCCACTAGGTGGCAATAAAGACTCTAACAGATGAGATGCCAACCAACGGGCCTGACAGACAAGCCACACGTTGCAGATTCTTAAAATTCTGCTTCTAGCATCCTGGGCTAAGAAAAAGCAGTTTTTCACTTTCCCTGCAGTGGCCACATATCTGCAAAGTGTGCTGCGGTTCATGGTTGACCCCAGCCGCCGCCTCTTAGTCACCGGGCCTGTGGCTGGCTGTTACCTATACCTGCTGGGCGCCAGCTGCAGACTGATAGGTGATGAGCCTTTTACTAACAGGCACGGTCAGAGGCGAGCCTGCAAAGGCTCCACTGCACAACATAAAGCCGTGCCTGGGTCTTTCGTACTGCTCCTTGAGGAAACTGGGACGCTGCTGCTGCTGCTGCTGCTGCTGCTGCTGCTGCTGCTGCTGCTGCTGCTGCAAGATTTTGTGTTCTGAGCAAACCTGAGCGCATCCGCGGAGATTTGCTTTAACGTTATCTTAAAGCAAGGCACATGCCTTGGGGGGAGAGACGCGGCTTCCATCCCCACTCTAGCTATGGTCACCAGTCACCACTTCCACATTCCAGCTGCCCTCTGCCTGCAGTGCACTAAGTGCCTCCAGGTCTTCTCTGTTCTCCAAACACAGTGCCCCTTGCATTCTTCTCCAGCTGCATCTTTCATAAGCAAACATCTGAAATAACTGATCACCAAAAGCACTGGCTCCACACCAGGGGAGTCTGCCATCCCCCAGGGGCTACCTGGCAACCTCTGCAAATACTTCCAAATATTCTAGCCTGGGAAATACAGCACTCGACACTGGTATCTATTGGGCCAAGGCCAAGCACACTGTTCCACACCCTGCAGTGCAAAAATCAGTCCCTTTCCCTCGGCCAAAGAATTTCTGGTTTCCAACCTCAACAGCACAGAGGTTGAGAAGCTTTTCTTTGAAGTGTGGATTTAAATTTTAACAGAAAATACATTTCAGACAAGTTGAGGGCAAAATTTTCTGTGTCCTTAAATACTAGCTATAAATTCCTTTGCAAAACCTGTAGGCATCTAGAGTCTCTTGATGGTCTCTATCTTCCCACAGATTCTCTTTGTTCCCTTTGGCAACTTGATGAAGCAGCGTAGGCTTGAATGCCTCCATCTGCGCCATGAAAAGACTACGTGGGAATGACTTCTGAGGTCTCCTCCTGATTAGAATCTCACTACTAAGTACAGTATAATGTTCTTAGCATTTTGATATCAGTGATTTATGTTCAAGTACAAACCAACAAAACTCTACAATTATGTGCTATAAAAATTCCACAAGCTTTTTCATCTCCCGAGATTTTACCTGATACAATCACTACACACGCAAGGAGCCCTGACCTTCCCCATCAGCTCTCACTTAGCTACAAGGGGAACATGTGTGCAGGACATGTGTGCGTCACAGCCTTACTTTTCGTTCTGTTGTCCGTGGTTTGCACACGGGCCGTACTTGTACTCATAGACGAAGCGTGGGATGTAGTCCGAGGTAATGGCGATGACGAACGCATTGGTGATCACGGCCAGTATGCCAATGCCTTCCAGAATGCCAAGCCAGATCCCTGTAGGGGAAAGATGAGAGACAGTGCGCAAAAACCAAAAACCTTTGACCAGTTTCATGTTGGAAAGAGTGCTCTTATGCTAATGCTGAAGCTTTGACCATCATTTCCTAAGTCTGAGGCTGGGTATTACAGCGATTGCAGGTCTGCTCCTCACAAAGGGTGGGTAGTCCTCATCTAAAACGGTCCACAAGTCAAAACGCCCTTAGGTCCAGGTCTCACTGTCGTACTGTCGTCTGCACAAGTGTCTGAAACACTCCCCAACCTCGCATAAAGAACTTGCTGATTCAGCAAAAAAAATTTCTCATACAGATAAAAAGAAAGCATTTGAAGTTATGTATAGAATCCATATTATTCATCACAGCCAAAACTGAAGTTTCACCTAGGTTCAAACAGCGTTAAGAGCATTGATAAGGAAAAAAGTTCTAGAAAAAAGATTCCAGTGTGCTGAGGGGTATTGGCAGTGTGGCAGCTTTCTTCCTCCCCCATCCCGTCTTCCAAATCCTTTATAAGGGACCTAGAATACGTGGGAAATAAAAGAATAAAATAAAAAGAATTTCAAAGGTTACCAGAGGTCATAAGGTAAATTAGAATCCATACAAACCAATATTAGAATACATCAAAAATCAATGTTTATTTTTTATAAAAGCTACAATTCTGTTAAAAATTTAGTGCAGGACAACTCATAGGAGAGAAATGGACAGGATGCAAATGAGCAATTTTCTGTGGAAACAAAAAGAGCCAGCAGATGCAACAAAAGTTCACAATCACTATTTATTCTGAGAAATGGCCTCCAAAAGAGTTTACTAAAAAAAAAAAAAAGTTTTCAGAAACTTGAAAGGACTATAACATCAAGTCTTATTCAGAAAGTAAATGAAAATAGAAATTGTTTTATGTTATTGAAAGGACATGTTTTAAAATTAAAATGTGTTTTACTCTAGTAGGTCTATGTTTAGAGATTTATGCAGACACACTGTATGTGCACACACATATTTAGCTATATTACATCTATGCTATGTTTCTAACCATTTTTGTGGATGTTTATTGCTGTTCGCAGTGGGAAAATAAGATGACTGAAGGATTACAAAGTCTGCCACTCACCTTTAGTAGAATATTCTGGTAAAATGAATTAAACTGATACATTTTGAGATGCGTGATTGGAGGAAGGAAATGATGAAGCCTCCATGTTTATGCAGGTATAATCTTCTTTTAGAATGCACAAGGTGAGGACTGACGAAGGTTGTGTGCTCAACTTGACGCAGTAATTATATCATATATATATCAGATAATTTATAAAAGCTACAATTCTGTTAAATATATATATTATAGATAGTGTTTATGAAGGTCCACGTTCAATATAACATTTCTCACAGTGAAGAATGCACCCGCTGCCCCTTTGTGCCAGCCAGCCTGCTTTGTGGAGGTTGGAAGGCGGCCCCCTGCGGAAGCTCGTAGGGTGGCAGGTGATTAAGCCACTTGGTCTCAGTTCATTTAACAAGATGCCCCCTCAGGAACACGGACACTTTTCTCCCTAAGCTCTGGGCTGGGAATCAGAACTCCAGACCAGTATGCTCCGTGGTGGGGAGGTGCCCATTTCCTGCTACTTTACTTCACTATCTTGAGGAGTCAGATTCAGAGTCTGCATGTAGTAAGAGAAGCGGGGGGCAAATGAACCCCTGAGCCCCCCAGAAGGGCACAGAGCATGCCCAGCGGCACTCTGCCCTCCTGTCTCTGTCACTTCTTATATGTCACTCCTCCTGACACTGCACACTGCTGAAGTCTGATCACACACACACACACACACACACACACACACACACACCCCTCTTGACACCGGTAACACCAACACCGTTTATTTCTGAGTCTCACCTATGTCAGTGGCTCGGGCTGGAAGGGGTCTCCGCCACTGGGTGACAAATTTGTAGGCATCCAGCCGGATTTCAATGATGTTGTTTAACAAAGCCAACAGTGGGGCCAGTGGAAAGGCAGCAACAAAGATGGTGGTGAAGCCAAACTGCAGCACTGTGAGGGGAGAGCGGAGACAGTGGGTGCTGCGGCACTGCCGTTCCTTGCATGCATCCTACGGGCTCATCTCCTGTCACAGACGAGAACGCTTGAGCTCACTGGTATTAACTAATCTTTCTGAAGTTATGGTAGAAAATGTTGAAAGTTGCATTCAAACTCAGATTTAAGAGGGCTTCACTTCTCTGCTTTCCACAATTATGTAATGAAGCATGCAGGAAGGAGAGAGGACAAGAAAAGGGGACGAAAGAAGGTGGAGGAGGAAGAGAGAGGAAGGGGAGGAAGGAAGGAGAGGAGGGGGGAGGAAGAGATGGGGAGGAGGAGAGCAGGAGGGAGGAGAAAGAGAGGAGCAGAAGGTGGGGAGAAGCTGAAACAGGAGGCCCGAGAGGCTGGGAAGCGCCTGGTCTGGAGCCACTCCTGGGACCCAAGGGCATCTTCGCCCTCTTTTCACAGATGAGAAAAACTCAAGTCCAGAGAAAAACAGTACTAAGCTCAACTCCCAGGAATCCTAACATCAGGAAAGGAACCTTTATTTTCTTAATATAAATAAGATTCTTTAAGCCTCAGACCGGATTTAAGCAAAGCTTTATTGAGCAAAGCAATTATGACTTTCTTTGGGTGGGGCAAAATATTTTCTCATGAAGGAATTGATTGGGCTTTATTTTGTTTCATTGAAATAGTTGTTCAAAAGCCAGGGGTCCACTGTGAGAAAAGCCTCTATTTTGGGCCAAGGCTTCAAAAGAGTGTGAGCCTTCTTTGCTTCCTACCTCGGTCTCCACTGGGATACAGAGCAGCTGTCTTTTAGGACACTTCAGAGGCTTTTAACAGTCTTTTAGAGAGGGATGATTTTTTCTGTGGAAGCAGAGCCCATGGGAAACACACACAGAACCTCCCGAGGGCCATGTGTCCCTGCCAGATGGGTTGTCCTTACCCATTTCCAGGTATTCATCCATTAGTCCGTGTATGTTCATGGGCTGCAGATTCCAGTCATTTTCCCACTGAGGAATCGAAGCATCTTGCACTCCACGCTTGATTTTATGCCGTGACCACCAGTTCTGGATTAACCTAAACCACAGGGCAGACCAAGGACTTTTGAGCTCTTGAGCAAACACCTACTTAATAGTTTGTAGTTCAAAAGATATAAGAAACACCAAGTGCTTCTGGGCTATGTGATGTGTTCTTGGGGATTGGAGATATTTGAGCTTCCTTCTTCAGTCGGACATGCATGTTGGAGATGCATGAGGAGCTGGTACATAGAGGAGACACATGATTGATTGTACCTGAGTCCTTTCATGTCTTCCCTTCTCCTCCCTCTACTCTATCTCCATTCCTTGATTCCCTTAACTTTTTAAAGTCTCAGCTTTGAAGAAAAATTAAAAGCATTTTTTTTTATTTTTAAAAGGAAACTATGGGAGAACTTCTGGAACTCTTCTAGAACTTCTCTAACTTTCTATATTTCTATCTCTGTATCTCAATCTCTATCTCTAACTCTATTGAGGAATTAATCAGCACACACTAGGTACTCTTTGCTATTAATCACATGAGCTTCCATAAGAATCCCTTCTCTCATTCCCTCCTGTAAAAGCATTGAAACTCAAGTATTCCCTGCTGTGATTACATTGGAACCCTTTCTTTCTCATAAGCCAGCAGGTTCTGGGCAACACTCTGAACATGAGTCAGATTACTCTCTAGAGAAAGTAGCTGAGCCAGGAGGGGATGTCAAAGGACAGAGCTTCTAGTTTCTACCTTGCATGCTTTAGATGTGTGATGTTTATCAAAATGCTTGTTTGTTTTGCGTTTATAAACATGATGTGCTTAAGCATTAGCGATTGCATTCTGCTACTACAGTGGAGAATGTCCCCAGGCCATGGGGCTTTGTATCTAAGTCCACTGCTGACCTGGAAAGGAAGTTACAACTCTTTCTCTAGCCCAGGAATGGTGCTGGAATCCTGTGAGTCAGATATACTTCCCCACACATACAGTCTGGACTTCTGGGTTATGAATTCTGGAAGAATTTGACCAAAAAATACCGCTAGGATGAGAAGAATCTCAAAGAAGTCAGAGATTGTACGCGATCGTCTATCACTTGGAAGCTTGGGTTCCAACAGCAGTTTTTAAGGAGCAACATCCACCCGAGGGAGCTGTCAGGCAGCATCGCCTCTGGGAGCTCCTGGAAACGAAAAGGGGCTGAGGGCTGGAATGGAGGCAGCTCCGATTGCTTTTGTTTTATATATTCTGTTTTGCTTGAAGAAACAGAATTATGATTTAAACATGTGATGATTCCACCCCTGCTGAACTTCCTGCAGCAAGGTTTTCTGCTAGGTGGTGAGGAACACCAGCCTGATCCCCCTGCTAGAAGGACGTGGCCCTGGAGGAACCTTGAGCAGGGCTGAAAATGCATGAGAGCGTCATGTGTGCTGGGAGCCACAGGAAAGGACTACCTGGGCATTCTTCTTAATCCTAGAGGGACAGCTAAGCCATTCTGATGGACCTATGAAACCAAGGAGGTAGCTCCATGGGGCAACCTGGCCTAGCACACACTAGGCCCTGGGTTTAGTCCGAGTATCATTAACACACATGGTAGCTTGTTAAACACACAGCACGTCAGAGTCCGCGATGGGCACTGGCGTCTCCTAACTTCCATAAGTGCTTTCTTAGGACACTTCCCAAACTATGTGCTTTGAAGCTATCAGTCAAGGATGGGGAAGGGTGTGGCAAATGGATTGGGGTCCCCAATCCTCCAGCTCCCATTCTCTCTTCATTAGAAGAGATTCACTTTCATGTGTTTCACATACTGATGATCTATAGAAAAATCTCTTCACAAAAAGTTTTGCCATGTGTGATTAATGTTTAATATTCACAGCATCATCTCATTTAATCTTCCCAAATCTTCTGATCTACAAATGCAAAGAGTGTGTCAGAGAAGTGAAATGCATTTTAGGCAAAACTAACAGGGAACAGAGAAGGAATCAGAGCCAGGTCTGAGTAGCTAGCTCAGCCCCATGTGCTCTTCCAGCCTCCTGGTTTCTACTCAGAACCATCCTGATGTAATTTGTAGGCCAGGGCTGGGGAG